ATCAATATTCTTCTTTTTTAGAACTATAAATAAGATTTCACTGACAGTGATTCAGATATTGATACTCTCAGTAAAGAAGTATTACTATTCTCAGTAAGTTTATCACTTTTTAATATCTCTATTATTATAAAAACTAACATTCTCTAAAGATAGAGTCATATAATGAGAATACTGCTGATAATATTAAGTATATTAAGTGACTTTTAAAAGCAGCTGCTGAGAAGAATATTTCTGAAAATAATAATTAAGAGAATTCTGATAAGTTAGTTACTAATGATATTAAAATATCAGCTGCTGATGCAATTACTATTATTATTACTGATTAATTTATTAATTCTGATTCAGTAATTAATATATCTTATAAATATAGTAACTTTGAAATGAATTTATTTATTCTGACAATGAAACTCTGAGCTGAAGAGTCAGATATTTTCTGAAAAAACTATAAATCACTACTATAAATTCTGTATTTATTAAAGAATATATCACTGATAAGTCTGCTCTCTGAAGATCTATTAACTCTGAAAAAGTAATACAGAGTATAATTTCTAATTTTATTAGTTAAGAAAATCTCAATTTTAATAATATTATTAATATAAATATCAACTCTGAGTTCTGCTCAGAAAAATCTCATTAAATTTTTTATAAGATTACTATACTTTTAAAATCTGATTCTTTTAATATCTACTCTTCTCAAATTCTCAACTTTTCAGTGACAAATGTATATAGAAATGACAGAAATTATTAATAATCTTACAGAGTTATAATAATCTCACAGTTAAGAGAGCTCTATTAAATATTATTTCAGTAAATTCATCTGATATTTATTAATAAATAAATCTATTTTTTCTTCTGATTTTATTCAGTATCAGTGTGAGAATCTTGAATACTACTATAAATCAGAGTTGAATAATATATCTTATATTAAAAGAGTGTATTTTATTAAATATAATTACTGATATTTAGATATAAGATCTTATATAATAGTTCTGAAAGTTCAAGAAGCTGTTCACTATACTTTACAGACTATATAAAGATTATCATTCTTGAATTCATTATTTAGTCTCTTTAAAATAATTATAATAAAGAATGAGATGAAATATATCTCAATTATTCAAGTTCTTAATTAACTTAATATTTATATAAATATAATATTTAAATCAGGTTCTGATCTGCTGATATATAAGAGTTAAGATCAGTATTTTCTTCATCAGATTATAAGAATTAAAACTGAGATAATTAAGATATAATTATATTATAAATCTTCACTAATTCAGACTGAGTTGAAAATTATAGTATATAAATAAAATCTTTTGAAAAGTATATTTTACTCTGATATATAAGTTATTTCTCTATTATATTAATTATTTATTGATGAATTTAACTTATATCAGAATATGTATTAAAGCTTAATAAGTTTTTATTTAATTTCTGTACTAAGTACTATTAAATATTTAAAGTGAAATAATATTTTTATTCTAATCTTTAATTCTTATAATATTAATTTTTCTGATACAGTTGCTGTATTATCACATAACTTATCTATATTGAATTATGAGAGAATTATAATAAATATTAGTGAAAAAAAGATGAGAGTGATTATATCTTATATTATATTTCTTAAAGATATACTGCAGTAAAATAGTAATATAGAGATTAACGTCTTAATAGTAAGAAGATTATACTAAAGCTGCTTTATTAATAATAAG